TAATTTTTTTAAAAAATTATTAGAATAGAAAAATTTTACAAAATTTATTTGAAAAAAAAAATCTGTAAAACTGCGTCGCCAAATATCTGATTCATATAAAGGATCAATTTAGCAGATCAGCACATATGTCTTTTAAATTATTCTTGAAGTAAAAAATATGGAAAATCAAACAACTCTAACATCAACAGCATGCCAGTGCTATTATAATATATTTTTAGAAGAGAAACCATTATATAAAGGAGATCTAAAAACAATCAGTTCTTCAACGCCAGTTTCTGAAGAGCAACGTCAAAAATTAGAAGAAAAATATCTCTGTCAAACATATTATAATCGAGAGGTTGTTAATAAAAATTGGTTTAAAATTCATCAAATGAAATTAAATAAATACTGTGCTTATCCAAAACATAATATATATAAGCAACAAACAAAAAAAAAGGGCAAACAAAAACCAAAGATGCACTTATTAATTTACCTGTTTGATTTTGTAAAGTGTTAGAACTTGACTCAACTGCCAAAATATGCCATAGGTGTATAAAGTTTACAGATAATGATCCAGATTATGTTACAAATCATAATTATATTTAAGCAACTAAATGGCTTCCACAAACAACAAACACTATATAAAAAAAGATTTGAAGTATCAAACCTTTTCAAGACCTAAGCAAGTCAATGAAATACGAATGATATAAAACAATAGCAGCATCTTTTTCAACTATATTTTATAATGAAATACAATCAGCATATCATTCAAGTGATAAAGTAATTTTAAATGAAGTAACATTTTCAACAAATGGTCAACAATTTCGAGTTATATATAATAAACCAAACAATGAAAATCCAAAAAAACTTGCTATTGTACATACAATAGATGAAGAACATATTTCTCGAAATATTTACCGAGCTATTACAGGAATTTAGCAAGATTTACCTAAAGAATGGGCTATTTCCAAAACAAAGTGATGAATTGATGATCAAATGCAACAAATAATTCCAATTAAAAGTATTAATATCAATTTAGATATTTTACAAAAAAGTAATTTAGAGACAAATGAAAATATAATAATAGATATTGATGATCCTGAAATTGTTGAAGAAGTTACAGAATCAATAGAAAAGGCAGCATATAGGTCATTAAAAGATATTTTATCATATATTATTCCGTTTTTAGTTCAAAAAGGAACTCTTCAATTATCAGATCCAACTTTATATATCCAAATTTCAGGAGATGGCCGTAATGTTGAAAAAAAAATAAAATATGTAATAGTTACATTTGCACTGCTTAATGATTTAGATACCATTTATTATCCCAAAAACACTATACTCTTTTAATATATCCCGGTATTGAAAAATATGAAATTTTGGAAATTGTATTAGCACCATTAATTCAGGAGTTAAGTGGGATTCAATCTGGTTATTTGGATAATGAAGGATATTATTGGAATATATATTTATATTTTTCAGCTGATTGGAAATTTTTAGCAATTTGTTTAGGATATAAGGCGGCCAATGCAGAAGATTTTTACCTTTGGTGCTCAATTAAAAAAAAAACAAAATGTAATTAAAACATATGACTGGACTATATCTAAACGTATAGAGGATCTTAATATTAATTATTTCAAAATACCTGGTCATAAAAGTAAACCTTTATTTCCTATGATTTCTCTAACTCATTGGGTTGTTGATAAACTTCATGTGATGTTACGAATAACAGACCAATTGTGGTTACTTTTAGTTTCAGAAGTTGGCACCAAAAATAATTCTAAAGTTTATACTATAATTAGCCAAGAAATGTTGTGAATTCATATTCACTTTAATTGGTGAGAAGATCCAAATACAAAAATGTGGACATCAACATCTTTAACAGAAGTAGACAAGCTAAAAGTGTTATGAAATTTCAATTTAGATTTGTTATTTTTAGATAAACATCGTGCTCAGTTAATTTGGCAATTATGGAATAGTTTTAATGAACTTTATAAAGACATGCATAAACAACGTATAGATGGAGTTGAATTCAAAAAAAAAGCATTAAATTGGATAGATTTATTTCTAACTCCATCTTCAGGTAATTATAATTTTTTACAAGCTTTTATTAATACTGTAATAAGATTTA